TGTTTTTAATTATACAGTCTATGGTTTCAGCGTATTGTCTATCACAGAGCCAGATATTTCCCTCAGAGCTAAAACCAGGGAGAACATTGGACTTACCAGGTAGCCAGAACATGATTCCAAATGAATGATAATGTTATTCTGTATCTGCTGAATGTGTAAATATAGGCAACTGTTCACCATATCGAGCTGAAGATGTACATAACTATCTGACTTTGTTGTCAGTTTGTTTCTTTACAAGGCATTGCATAACTTAGTGGACTATTTCAAATATGACATATCCCTATGTTGCTGGTTGCTTTATATAATAACCATGAACATTGCTGACAGCAAGCATGGGTAGATGTCTGACTATCTGTGCATCTATGTATAATCTACTACTATTGACCAGGAAACCTAATGGGAACTGACAGGGTGTTAAATATAATTTGAATGATTGATTTATTGCTAGACAGATCATTGAAGCTGAACTGACATGTTGGCTAAGTAGACTATTTAGTACACAGATTTGCAGGCATATGCAAGAAACACAGTCTTCAGAGCATGCATCCTTCATCTTATCTCTGAGCTCAATTAGATCTGGCATCCATGGCAACTAAAGTGCCAAGGAGCTGTCAGATGATACCATACTGAGAATAAAATCAAACTTCAGTTCATTTTGTTTTGCTCACTTTGGTTTATTCAACAAGGCTATAATCCACTCAGGAAATGGCAGCTTACAGGAAGCTCGGGGTTATAAGAGCATTTACTGAGTGTCTTTGATACTGATGTATAAAATAAATAAAAAAAATAAAGGACACAGTATCAAATAATTGCATATAAAGCCAAATTCAATTCTATCACGTCAAGCAAGAAGGTCTCTGGTGGATGATATCAGATCTAGCCCAGTAATGTGAAATGAGTTTTTTAAAAATGTATTGGTGCTGAGCTTGCAGAAGCCAGAGTTAACTTGTCTACTAAACAGAGTCAGGGCTAAAAACTACTATGATGATTCAGGTGTTTTGTGAGGTCTGGCCCTCACTTGGGCCAAACCAATAAGAGATTTTCCTGCTGGGGATTTGTCATATCTCCGATTGACTCCCATTGTGCTCCTTTTCTGGCTTATGCGGTTAAAAACACTACGTAAGCAGGTAAGTCTGCATGGGCTCTATGATTGTTAGTACTAAACTGTAGACAGTTACAGTAAAAACACACAATCTCTGAATTAGGTCAGGAACCCACATTATCAAAATCATATATATAAGCATGGAATGAACAGCCAATTGCCTGACAATTGAATTCTGTTATTTCAGTTCTCTCACGGCAGGATCAAAACATCACATTGCACTTTCTAGCTTGACTGTGTGCTAACAAGATTCAACTGTGCAACTCAACTGTTTGTCAGCCTACTATCCTGTTCTGTATAGCCAGTAATGACATGCTGTTGCTTACCTAATACATACCATCGCATAAGCAATGTCTGTATTAACAATTCATAACACAAGTTCAGCATGAAGTTGACAACCGCTCAAGATGTCTCTATGGGAAGCTGTCGGTGTTTGAGTGTGTGTGTGTGTGGTGTGTGGTGTGTGTATGTGTTGTTCTTTTCCTCTGCCTGGCCTGTTGACGATCCTCTTATCTGTGAAGCCTGTTGGTGATTATGTTTATTTTTTAAAAGAAAGAACAATGCACATTAATTAACATGAGCGCTTGGGTCCATCGTGGATATGTGCCAGATTTAGCCATACAGGCCAATTTTCATCTGCAGTCCCTGAAGTCCATTTTACAGTTTTTGTCTGTTGGCTTTTTTTGTGCTAATGATGTGAGAATAAACATAGTGAGAGCTGTGGTAGAAATCCGCAGTAGTTTTTTATTTTCCGGTCTGTGATATCTACCTCTAACCACCTGACTGGGACGTACACATTCAACAGAGGTTTTTCTCCAAACTATCCGTACACTTGACAGCTAGACCTGAGGGTCTCTTTTTTCCAGTGAATCAGTGGAACACAGTTCAAGGTGAACAGCAGGGGCACACAGGGCGAAGCAACTGATTTTCACTAATGTCGTCAAGAGCACCATGTGGTGCAACTATGAAAACCTTGTGGGATGAAGAAGAATAATTTCAGTAGGTGTGGTAGGAACTGACAGTAATAGAAAAAGCAAATCAAATCACCACTTCCTTCCTTCAAAAGGCAGTGCAGTCTCTCTTAAATGTCCAGAGCAGGTATACCACAGAACCCCATCATTACCAATTTAATATTGTAGGTGCAGAAATGTAAATCCAGATCCATCAGCTAATGTAGAAATCCATTCAACAATAAGAGCCTAAGAGAATTTGGCAGTGAACAGCAACACACAGTGTGTCCATGCGACCGCCTACATATTTCGTGCCCAAGCATCATGTCACATATAACCATTGTGTGGTGGATGACAGTCATTCACACCACAGTTGTTTGAATTTTAATTTCCCCTGCTTTAAAGACTGCATCGTCGGGACACACAACTCAGCTTGTCTAAAGGTGGCATTAGGTTAGAAAAGTAGAACTTTCCTGAAATAGAAACACTGTACATTCAAACAGCATTTATTTATATTTCAGCCCAGTGAGGGCACACCTGTCACATTAAAATAACAGAGCAGTGACAGCAGTGAACCGCTCAGAGATCCAAGAAAGAAGATACGGTGACAAAGTGACAAATGCATCTAAGAGAATGTTAAGATTTACACTAAAAGCCAGAGGTGAAGAGTCTTCTCAAAGGCTCTGCCAGCTTTGCCTCAGAATGATTCATTTTGAACACTTGACCATGAGATGGGATGTGTAGGAAAGTATAGTGCAGAGCCTCCTACCATAGTCCATAAAGTAACAGTCTGTCAGTATATATCTATCATCAGAATCAGGTAACTGTCAAACAACTTGGCAATCGATTATATAAATGGTATTTTGCTTTCAAATTCCTTCTTCCAGAGAAGAGGAGAGGAGAGAAGGAGAAAAGGAAGTGAATGTTTTCTGTTACTCTATATTGTGTCATATACTACAGTAAGTCAACGAATTTCAGCATTTATGCTCATGCTTATTTCAGAGACATTTGACTCAAGCATGTCTTTGTTGACCGATACATGTAAAAAACAATCCTTGAAGGCAATATTAGTATTGAGGTGAAGTGTGAAAAAGCACCAGAAACAATATATGTTTCAAAATAAAAGCTTTTAAGGTGGATTTCCTCAGTGAGCTCTGGCTAATCTTTCCTCCTCTGATTAGACCAATTTCAGCTCCTGCAATGAAACTACCAGTGGTCCTACACCTTACGGTTTCATGGGTCTCTTATTCTTTATTTTATTTGTTAGGCTGATCCATAATTTGTAGCCACGATGACAAACTGTATAGATTTGGAAATGACATTAGAAGGCAACCTAAAATTAGTCATCCAGTAAAGCAACAACACATCCAGGAATTCACAGTAGCGTAGTTGTAACATCACACATTTGAAGTTAAAGGCATGCTGACAACGCCTTACTGAATACTGAAATGACAACCATATGACTGCAGGGACTCACAAAACAGTTAAATCTGTATCCACTGGATTCAGATTGAAGAATCCTGGCTGCCTCGTTGTAATGTCGTCAGATACAAGTTTATCTTGTCTTATGTTATTTCTCTGAAATGTCTTCAGAATATGCTAAAACACAGCTCCACACTTTTGGTAAGAAACACTTCTACTGGTATGATCAGTCATCTTTTTTTTGTAATTTATTCTAGTGTGAGAGAGAGTGAGAGAAGGGAAGGGTGAAAAGAGGGTGTACTAGGTATTAGATGAGGTTATTTACTGCCAATGTAAGCATAGCATCTTTCAGGTTATTTTGATGTCATAAGATTTAGTGTGTAGAAAAATGGGACAATGTCAGTAAAGAGAAGAAATAGTTTTGTGGCTTTTAGCCCCTTCATGGCAGCACTATACAAAGGATCCATGAAGGGTAGGTGTGTAATGCTCTCTATCACACTGGCACAGTATCTTCTCTGATAACACTTGGGAAATGCCAAAGTCATTTTCAATTTTCACAAAGTTTCTTAGAGTTACACCGACTTAACATTACTACAATTATAAAAGATCTATCAACAACAAATTGTTACATGTTTCTTGTACAAAATGCTGTTATCAAATTAATGTTAGGGCTGTCGCGCTATACTGGCTTTGACAATAACGATGATTTTAGGAAATGAAATATTGATATCATGTTGGTCCAGAACCTCTTTAATCATTTCTGTTTCTTTGCATGTCCCCTTTGTGGTTACACAATTAGTGTAATTGTTCTTTTTGTATGCTTTTGTACAATTTTGATTGCAGACTCTCTCTTATTCAAGTGTAATTGATTTGCCAAAAAAGAGACAAAATGCACAATAAAAATTAAATATGAGTTTGACTTATAGCATTATTTTTTTTCAAATTGTCTATAGAATAATAATAAATAATCTTTAATAACTAATATCGTAATCGTGAATCCTTAGTAGTGTGTGGTGAAAATGTAAATGAAGCAAAAATAATACAAAATGTGTGCATTATGTTTGTGTTTGTATTTTGTGTTAAAGGCTTAAATATGAATATGAATTGAATCTAATATTCATTATATACAGCCGAACAATAAGGTTGATTCTCTAGAGAAGCCGTTTGTCAGCTAACCATTGAAAAGTGTACACCCATGCGATTGGTGTCCTGAAATTATAAATATGTGGCCTCAAGATATAATGTAGGTCAGGTGCCTCTGCAACTTGAGAAGTTCAGTGCTCTCATGTTTATTTTATTATCAAGCCATGTACAATGAGCTTTTGACTTAATCCTCACAACAACACATACAAACCACTGGGCTCAGGACACAAATGTAGACATCATCATCAACACAACCGCACCTAGCCTTCGATCAGAGGACATCTCAAGTGCAGCAATCACAGCGTGTGTGATATTGCTGTCCAGATAAATCCAATAACAGCCCAGATCTCTCCTGGGTCCTTCAATATAACAATGTCACCTACCTGTAGGGGATCCCTCGAGCACTTCTCCTGTGTAGCGTGTCTCTTTGAAGATGGGCCGGTTGTCATTTTGGTCAATGACAGTGATCACTAGTGTGGCCGGTCCCTCGACAACATTTCCAGCTTCGTCTGTGGTTGAAACTTCCAGCTGTGTGGATGAAAAGATAAAGGAGTTATTTTCCACGATGAAGATGGTGTCCTGGGGGTAAGTCTTATTTGCAGTAATCTTCCTAAAACTGTAAGTGGCTGGTTCAAAATCTGCGCTGTTCTGCATCCGTCTACAAAAACATCCCACCTGTCTTTGAAAGAAAAGACAGCCACAGTTAAAAAACTGACTTCATTTGAGCTGCAAACATCACGGCAAGCTGTTATCTACCTCTGCAAATGACAATAATGCTTAAAAGCTGAATTTTTAACAGACAACTTAAGACAGATAAGCACAGTAGCAATTAGTCCATCTTTTTGCCAGTGAATACCAATAATAAAATTATTTATTCCTGTATGTTTATAATAATTATATACAGCCGAACAATAAGGTTTATCCTCGAGAGAAGCTGTTTGAAATTATTTATTCCTGTATGCCTATAAAGTACCTGAGCATTTAATATAGGCTATACCATAACATTTGCTCTTAGATACCAGTTTTTGTAGTTTTAACACTGGCCATGCAATCACTCAACCTCAAACATCCATACAGCAGAAATGAATGTGTTTGTGATTATCTGGTGGACTGTTTTCTTATTTCTCCTTAAACCTGACAGAATCGTGTCCTTGCATATGTATCCAGTTTCCAGACTCAAGTTTCCTTCACAGGCACCTACAGATTTACAGATAAAACCTGCAGTCAAGCCTATTAAGATTACTCATCTCCTACTCCTCCTCCTCTCCACCTCTTTCACCTCGGCTATACCTCTACCAAGTGATCCTCCATCGGCCCACATCACATATTTATGCATTCAGCCTCTCCCTACTCTGCAGTATTGCTAGTCATCCCACTGGTTCACCTAAGGGACCGTGCAAGCTTAATGGAGTACAGTTAAAATATATATTTTAACTGTACTGTATATATATATATATATCAATTCAGCAAACAAGCTGATTTTAATCCGGAGTGGGACAACCATGTCCTGTTTAGTCAGTCTGCCTATTTCTCTACTGCTCTATTTAATTGATTTATACCTGCCCAAAAACTTTGCAGTTAGGGCCTTCTTGTTGGGTTTTAACATGGACAATGGACAGTAAAGATGTCTGGAAAAAAAAGCTGCGAATGACGATTATTATCATAGTGCCAAATTAATGTAAAAGAGGTGAATCTTGAAAATACTCAAAAACTAATAGGCTCATTTAATTTTTTTTTTGTGCAACCTATTAGATGGCAAATGGAGCTTACAGATGGAAACTCACAACTGTCATTTCTCTAATACAATTTAAATAAACTCTGTCACACTGACACCATTCCTCAGACTTCTGACTGCCACGGCTTAAACAATGATAAAAGAAAATGCCATTGTGGGGCAGTGATGTGCGGATTAATGGATGTATTTAATTTTAAAAGGACATATGTTTTTAATGAGTGATGTTAAATCAATTGATGTCCTATACCATGTGAACGGATGTGATAATGATAATATCTGGAGATTGAACAGTGCCATATAAAATGTGCTAAAGCCATGCTAGTTATTCTGTGAGACTGAATTTAGGCACATTGGCGCTTTGAGCTAAATGCTACTGACAGCATGTTAACATGCTCACAACGACAATGTTACCATGCTGGTTTTAATTGCTTACCATGTTCACCATTTGCTAATTAGCATTAAACAAAAAATAAAGCTGAGGCTTTTGGGAATGTCATTGGTTTTGCAGGTACAGTATCGGACTAATGAAATCACCAAAGTCAGTGTCTGAACCAAATTTCATGACAATCTATTTAATAGTACGAATGTCTACACAAAAATCTAAGGCAATCCATCCAGGCAATAGTTGCTGAGATATTTCATTTTGGACCAACCTGGTTGACCGACTGACCAACCTTATCATCTGCTAGCACGGCTGAAAATGTAAAGTGACACTTAAAATCCCTATAGTTGAAGTATACCTGGATAAAAGATGCTCTCTGTGACTCTTATGAGCTGCATCATTGTTCAGTTGTTATGTTCTGTATAATAAAACTCCAGTATTGTGTTGACACAATTTTGAAACAATTGAAAAAAAGAAACAGTTTCAGGTTCAGCACAACTTCAACACACACATCTCTTTTTCACTACTTTTTTTGTTGACAAGCTCCACGCTTAGGGCTGGAAGCTGGGCACATGTCAAAACACATCGTTCACAATGCATAGTATTGCCTAAAAAAGTTACAACTTGACTTCAAGCAGAACAATGGTGCTTTCCTGACTGATGCTGATGACTTGCTACCTGTATTCGTAAATTAAAGTAGAATTCAAAACTTGCAGGAAAGCTTTTCCTTTAAGATGCTAAATGTACCCCTGACGAATTAGTAGACATTTTTTGGGTCTTACCAATGACACTAATTAAGGTTCTGTTCCATTTAGTGTCCATTTCATCAGTCTTAATTAGTACCATTGCTAACACCTGTGTTTACCCTA